GGAGGATCTCCAATAAGTAGGATAGATATGCAAAGATGTTAAATAGAATCATTCAGGATGAGGTGTGGAGAATCAACCTCTTTGGTGGAAAGAAGGAAATAGGCCTTTATTAAGCACCTACTACATGCTTCTGACACCCCAACGAGGTGTCACAGTGGATCTCCAGAGCACTGGGCCTGGACTCAAGTCAGAAAGACCAGAGTTCAAATTTGACCTCAGACACTAACTGTGTAACCCCGGGCAAGTCACTTAATCCCTGCTGGCATAAACCTGGAGAAGGAAATGGCAAACCACTCTAGCGTCTTTGCCAAGAAAACCCCAGATGGGGTCACAAAAAGTCTGAATGAATGAATGACAGGCAGATATTATCTAATTTGATCCTCACAATGACCCTGGGAGCTGGGTGATGTTATTATCTCCATTTTACAGTTGAGGAAACTGAGGCTAACAGAGGCTGTCACTTGGCCAGGATTACACAGCTGGTATCCAAGGTGGGATTTGAAGTCAGGTGTTCCTGATTATAGGTCCAGCCCACTGTCCTCTTTGTCACCTAGCTGCCCAGTATGAGCTCATGGATGGACCAAAGGAAGACTTTTCTTGATATTCATCACAAGGATTTTATGTAGAGTATCGATCACTATTTCTATGGATCAAATCCAGTGGTACTAAATGACTTCTTAAAATTATGGATAACTGGTTCATATATCAGTCAGTGAATGACCCACTCACTTCAAGCAGACAATTAGTCATCTGTGCATCTTCTAGATATAAGGATGTTTAAAACAAATCTGAGGGGCAGCTAGGTGGTGCAGTGGATAGAGCACCACCCCTGGAGTCAGGAGGTCCTGAGCTCAAATCCAACCTCAAACACATAACACTCACTAGCTGTGTGACGGTGGGCAAGTCACTTGATGCCAGTTGCCTCACCGAAGAACATTTAAGCCTCTTGAGGGCCAGGATTCTTATTTTTGCTGCTTCCCCCAGTTTTTCATATAGTGCTTGACATGCTTTTTATCTTGCCTATATAATACACCATAATGTTAAATAACAAAGAAAGAATTAAGTTACTCCGGACTCATGGAGCCTCAGAAGCCATACAATCCAACCCCATTATTTTACAGCTGGGGAAGTAGAAGCCCAGAGACTTGTCTGAAATCATGTGGTGATAAGTGACAGAAGAGACAGAATTCAAACCTAGGTCCTCTGACCACATAATTTCCCTTTCAAGACAGATATAGATAGTGGATGATTAATTACCCCCCCATGTGTCCAGAAGCTAATCACAATAGAAATGGAGAGTGAGAATTTCTGAATAGTCATAATTCCCCAAGTTCCAGTATTACTATTAAAAAAATAATTAAAATGAAGGACTTAATTTTGACACACCTAATCCTTCTGTGAATTCCACAACCATAACTGCAAATTGTTATAGTTTTCACAATCCATCAAATAATTTATGGGAGTGGGTGGTGGACCTGGGACATTCATGAGGCTGCTGTACAGCCTGGCTAGAGACCCTTGGGATGTTATCAGGCAGTATCCAAGAAAAAAAGGTGTGTGTGTGTATATGTGTATACATACACTTATACACACACACACACACACACATACACACAACACACACATATATGTATAGGTATGGTATATACACACCATATGTGTATATATACATCATACCATACATATATACATATATGGGTATATATGGCATGTGTGTGTGTGTGTAGGTATGTGTGTGCATTCAATCACAAATTCTTTCCCTAGTATCCAGGGGATGCAGGCATCCCAACCAGGTTGTAAGAGTCTGAGGACCAGACCACGTTACCTAAATCTGCATTGACAGGCATTTTATTTCCATTTGATATGCAATCCACTCCTAAGAAGCCTTCACCCACACATGCAAAACTGGCATGACTATCTGTTCATTTTTCATTGCTATGAAAATCATAAATACATAATTACTCACATTTCCCTCCTCCCCCTCCCCCTTAGATATTTGCCAATTTAGGAATGGAAATACAAGGCTTACCTTCACCCCGTTTTCTACCTGGCAAACTGCCAACAAGAGATTTAAAATGATTACCTTATTTGTGTGTGTGTGTGTATACTGAAAAAAGCAAGCTTTGACTCTGCTACCTACCCAAATAAATACCAGAGGAGAATGATTTGCTTTTCACTTTTTCTGTAGATACGGAAGGTAAAAAAAAAATCGCCCTTACCAAGCTCTGATGTGTTCATCTGGAGTAGCTTATATTTTTGTCACTCGGGACAGAAGGGTAAATCTGCCCATCCTCACTGCCCTTTGAAATTCCAATTTCTAATCCAGCAGTTGACTTTCACCAAGTTTTCATTCTCAGCTGTTTGAGCACCATCTGTGGTGAAACAGTGTCTCTGCTTTTTATTTTCAAAGTTGATTTTCTTTTTTTTTTTAATAGAAGTTTATTCTGTGGAATTCTGCATGTGTGGCAAGGGATTTTTGAGGTGTTGGAAATTTATTTGGAGGTCTTTTTAAAAGTAATCTCAAATTACAATGCTAGCATGCTAAGCTTTCTTTGAAATTTAAAAGCTACTGAGAAACACATATATTCCTCACCCCTCCAACCCCCCCCCATTGGGTTGTAGTTTGCCATTAGAATTCTGGGAAATATATAAACATTTTACAAAATTAAGGACTACTCTAAGCAGCAGTTACTTTATATAATGCCTGGGTGTTATTTTGGGGACTGACATTTGTTTTTTTACTTTATCAAAGCAATTTCAGATCCATTATTTCAACTTCTTTCCCATGTGATATCTAGCCCAACTCCCTCGATTTTCCAGGTAAAGTGAGTGGGGAGAGAAATTATGTTCTCAACTGAAGGGATCACGTTTATGGAATAATTGTGTTCTTGCCTCTTAGGAACAATAAGATGGCAGACTACTGTAAATATGATGAGCACACACAGAGAGGATCTCGGCTGTACAATTAGAGGGGCCCCTAAAAGTCACCTCTAGTGCAACAGATTGAACAGATGAGGTAACTGAAACCCAGGAAGGCTGTGCCCTGCTCAAGGTCACAACACAGATAGTATCAATGGCGGTATTCAAATCCAAGTCTTCTATATGAAAAATTCCAAGAATAAAATATTGTATGAACTTAAAGGACAAATTGCATCTGATTAAACCACGTCATCTTACGCCTTTGTCCCAAAGAAATGTATGCCTGTTTGATGGAACCAAGTCCTTACTCATTTATTCAAATCCTTTCCTAATGATGGATAATATTGTAGTAGAAATTTATTACTAAGTATGTGTTACACAATTATCTTATGATAAATGGAAAAATGAATCCGGATACGTTTACTTAAAAGCCAGAGATTTTGTGTGTGTGCGCGTGTGTGCGTGCGCGCGCGTGTGTGTGTGTGCTCACCCACATCTTTTCTCTCCCTTGGTTATGGTAGTTTTGTGGGTTTTTTTTTGTTTAGCCTTAAAAAAATTTCATTTTGTTTTGCAGTACTGCCTACCAGCTATGCTCAGGAACGATCAATCGTGCGCTATTTTTCCCGTCTGCTAGGAGTTCAATTTATGCTTTCTGGCTTCCCCCTGAGCCTGCTGCACTCACCTCCAGCCCTCGCCCCCCGCCCCTCTTTGGAGCCGGGGTTAACTCTCCTCTGGAAGGCCAAGTCAATAGCTTTAAGCCATCTCCCGGGTTAGAAGGGAACAATAGTTACATGGCTTTGTTGCTCTTGAGTTCTCCCGGGCAGTTTTCACCGACTGAATCTAGACGTCTCTTTCTATGGCTTCCAAATGTTACTTTAAAACATTCAGCGCCCGCCCCCCTCCCCAGTGGTGGTGGTGGTGTTCGGAGAGACCGTAGGATGATCAGACACCATTTTAACTGTGCAAGAGCAAAACTCTTCATTTCCTCTGCTTTAGCTACACAAATTGCGACTGTTTTCCTCCATCGCATGGTCAGTCTTATTCTCACCTTGGAAGTTGCAGAAAATGTCTTTTCTAAAGGACTTGTGGCCAACCGAGCAAGAGGAATGCTCTTTATTCAGGCCCTGGCCATTTCTCCTCGAACGCCCAGGGCAGCATTCGGCAAACTCTTGTAATTTCACGCGTGTGCACACACTCACCTACACCCGCATGCACGCGCACACACACACACTCCCGGACTTTATTCACTGCATGTCACAGCGCTAGCACATCCTTCCCCCACCGCATGCACGCGCACTCACAATGCACACTCACAAAGACACACGCACACACCCAGACTTTATTGGCGATGAGTTACAGCGCTAGTACTCGCACCCGCAGACACACGATCTGCATGCACGACCACACAAAGACAAGCTCACACACACCCACGGTGGGTTACAGCGCTAGCACACACTCCTCCATACACCCGCATGCAGGCGCGCACAACAGGACCTTATTCACAATGGGTTAGAGCGCTAGTACACACACACGCACGCACACTCCCGGACTTTATTTACTGCGCTAACCAGGATGGTGGGAGGGGCCATGGACCATTAACTAACCCCCGACCCCCATTTCTGGTCCCCGCGCTCTTGTCTGCTGGGCAATCCTCCACTGGCCGCAGGAGGGAGGGGCGGAAGGGAGGGGCCCCGAAGAGCCCGGGCTGCGGACCCGCTCATCTCCGCAGACCGCAGCACCCCTGCCCCAACCCGAGCCCCGAAGCACCGGGATGCTCCGCAGGAGCAGGGGGCGGAGCCTGGCCGAGGGAGGCGGAGCCTCAGCACGCGCACCCCCCTCCCCTCTCCAGCGCTCTCAGAGCAGCCACCAACTCAGGCTTTATTTGTTTACAAGCGGGTGACGTCAGCTCCTCCTCCTGCTCCTCCCCCTCTATTCCCCGCCTCTCGTCCCCGCCCCTTTCTCCCCCCCCTCCGAACCTGCTTTCGTCACAATGGTGCGATCGCTGGATTGGCGGGTGGCTCCCTCCCCTCCCGGCGACGCCACTTCCGTTCCGTGGCCCTATAAGAAGGGGCGCCCGGCGCTTGCCTCTCTTCGCCCGTCGGAGCTGGAAATGCAGGTGCTGAGATCCGCGGTCGCTGCGGAGCAGGAGGCAGAGGCGGCCGAGGAGGTTCGAGCGATGTGAATAGGCCTTCGCCGCTCTCCTCCTCCCTCCTCCTCTTCCTCCTTTCCCTCCTCTCCCTCCGCCCCCTAAAGAAAAATAACTTTTTTTTTTTAACAAAAAAAAAAGAAGAAAAAAAAAAGTCAGCGCCCGGGCCGGGACCGCGGAGTCCCCCTCCTCGCCCCGGCGCTGGCTGGCCGGCCCCCGCCCGCCGCCCCCATGCATCCCTTCTACAGCCGGGCCGCCACCATGATCCGCGAGATCGCCGCCGCCGTGGCCTTCATCTCCAAGTTCCTCCGCACCAAGGGGCTCACGAGCGAGCGGCAGCTGCAGACCTTCAGCCAGAGCCTGCAGGAGCTGCTGGCAGGTGAGCGGCCGTTGGGGGCGGGGGCTGGGGGCACGGGCGCCGCTGGGGACCCTCCCATCCCCAACCCCGCCGCGGGGCCGTTAGTAACGGAAAGTGGGGCTGGGGAGGGGGAGCCCCGGCTCAGGGCGGGAAGGGTCCCCCCAGGACGAGAGGGGTCCCTGGGGAGGGAGAGCCCCCGGGACGAAAGGGGGCTTTGGAGGAGGGGAGCCTGCTGCAACTGAGGTCTTCGGGAAGGGAGATACCCCAGGGCTTGAGGTCTTTAGGAATGGGGACGCTCGGGGACAAAAGGGGTCTTTGGGAGGGCTCAAGGGAGAGAGGTGGGGGGAGGGAGTCTCCTGGGCGCGCAGAGATCGTTTCTGCCCCTCCCCCTCGTCCTGACCGATAACGGTGGGTCCCCCCTTCTCCCCCACTCAACCCAAGTATCGACCCCATCTCTCTGCTCTTCTTCCTTAAAGCTTCGTTGGTTCTCCCAATTTTGTTCCTTTTGGTTGAAAAAAGGGGGTGAAACTAAGAATAAAGGATCCGTCGTGCAAAGGAGTAGCGTCCACCCCCTGCCCCCCCCATCCCTTTGTATGGGGTGTGTGTGTAGTGGGGGGAACACAAAGGAGTTCTTCTCTTTGGTTTCTCCGCCACTTATTGCCCACCTTCCCCCTCCCCCCAAAAAAACCGTTGTTGTTCCCTGGCCTGCTGGTGGGGTTCCCTTTCCGGGGTGCTGCTTGCTTCTGATGCCACCCTCAAACCCTTGTATGTGGTTACCCACACCACCCTAGATATTAATCGAGAAATTGGTCTAATTTGGTCTAAATTGGCTCTAATCCTGAGGCGTTTTTGTTGGTGTTTGCCTTGCCCTGTTCTGGGTTAATCCTGTGGTGTGCCCTCCTTCTAGAGCCATAAACCCTATTGTGTGTGTAATTCGGGGTGGGGTAGGGAAAGTAAACACCGCAGGGGTGGGGTAGAAGGAAGTAAGCCTGGCTTTGGGGTAAGGAGTTAAGACTCGTCTGTGGGACTCCTTGTGGAGCCAGCTTTGTGTCCCACACTGGCCCCAAGTGCCCCATTCCCCGTAGCTTAATTCATTTGGTGATTCTCTGTTGAAGTGATCTTAAGCCTGGTAATTCTCAGTCTTACTCTTTTCAGTGTCTTTCCTGAAATAGGCACAGCTCTGGAGGAGTGAACAGAAGAGACACGGAGCCCAGTACAGAAGTAGCATCCATCCCGAGTTAATTATAACATCTAAGCGTTGTCTTTCTCTATTCTTGCTTTCTTTTATAGAACATTATAAACATCACTGGTTCCCAGAAAAACCCTGCAAGGGATCAGGTTACCGTTGTATTCGCATCAACCATAAAATGGATCCTCTGATTGGACAGGCCGCACAGCGGATTGGACTGAGCAGTCAGGAGCTGTTCCGGCTTCTTCCAAGTGAACTCACACTCTGGGTGGACCCTTATGAAGTGTCTTACCGTATTGGAGAGGATGGCTCGATCTGTGTGTTGTACGAAGCCTCGCCAGCAGGAGGTAGCACTCAGAATAGCAACAACGTGCAGATGGTAGACAGCAGAATCAGCTGTAAGGAGGAACTTCTCTTGGGCAGAACAAGCCCTTCCAAAAACTACAATATGATGACTGTATCAGGTTAAGATATAGTCTATGGATGGATCATCTTATAATGGATGGACAAATTTGATTTTTGCTTTGGGTGGGCTCTTCTTGGGGATGGATTATGGAATTTAAACCATGTCACAGCTGTGAAGATCTGGCACAAGATAGAGTGGTAAATTTTTTTAAGTGACAGTGCCATAGTTTGGACAGTACCTTTCAGTGATTTAATAGCCTGTGAGTCCAAGTTAATGATCACTTTCTTTGCTAGGGAGTGAGGTCCTAAGGTGGTTTTGGTTTCTCCCAGACATTTTACTTAATTTCTGCGTCAGTCCCTTCAACCCAAATCTGTATTTATAAAGAACCTTTCTCTGCAGTAGATCTTGCAGAGTAAATTTGCACTATTACATTTATAAATTGTTCTAGTTAACCCTTTTGGCAGCTCAGTAGCAAAGCTGAATGTTTTAAACATGGTAGTACTGGAAATTGTATGACAGACTTTTACCTAGCACTTACTTCACAGTATGTATAAATGTACATAAGACAATAAACTAGAGTAAGCATGACCTGGGAAAATGGTCAGACCTTGTATTGTGTTTTTGGCCTTGGAAGTAGCAAGTGACCAGAATCTGCCATGGCAACAGGCTTTAAAAAGACCTTATAAAGACACTGTCTGAACTGTGGTGTGTTAGCACCAGCCAGCTCTCTGTACATTTGCTAGCTTGTAGTTTTCTAAGACTGAGTAAACTTCTTATTTTTAGAAAGTGGAGGTCTGGTTTGTAATTTTCCTTGTACTTAATTGGGTAAAAGTCTTTTCCACAAACCACCATCTATTTTGTGAACTTTGTTAGTCATCTTTTATTTGGTAAATTATGAACTGGTGTAAATTTGTACAGTTCATGTATATTGATTGTGGCAAAGTTGTACAGATTTCTATATTTTGGATGAGAAATTTTTCTTCTCTCTATAATAAATTGTTTCCTATCTTGGCATTTTAATTAATCTCTTGTCATGATTACATAGGAACAGCTAAACTTTCTCACGTTGATGTTAAGAGTATTAAAAGGAAATGTGAATGTGGCCCACAGGTCGTGCTGGGAAACATTTGATAAAGACATGGATTAATGAAGACCACTGGGGTAGGAATATTTGGGAAGTCTAGGGAAAACACAGTGGTGTTACATGTTTTATTTGTTAAACCCTAAAATCAGTTGTAACATGGAAACTTAACTCAAGGGCTAGCAATTCCACAAGATGAGGATGAGGGAAAGAAGTAAAATGTGCTACCAAAGATGACTCATAATAAACCCAGAGGATTAAATTTCAATGATTTCCTGTCAAAGTGAAGATATAACTGTAAATGTCCATTCTGGCCCACCTTTGAAAAGCTCACAATTTTGTCCCTGATGGATTGCCTTGCTCAATTAGAAAATCCTGGGACCAGTGTCCCATAGTTTTAATGAGCAGACTAATCACTCTACAGAAAGATTGGTTGCTTTTCCACTTCATCAGCTTCAAGACAGTTTAAAAAAAAACAAAAACACTTAAGCTGGAATTCAACAAAAGGTATGTTTCTAAATTTTTTATTTCTCCCAAAATGAAATATTGTCTACATAACAGATGGCTTCATTTTCAGACTTTATTTCAGATAATTTTCTATGGACTCTGACCATTTAGGCTGCAGATGGTGGAGTTTGTTCCACTAACCCACATAATAAAGTAATTCTGTGGTTTCAGTAGAACAAAAGCACTTTTTAAGGGAAAAGGACTCTGATAAGTTTCACAGCAAAATGCCAAAGATTAATTTGATCACTATATACTTTGGACAGGTCTAACATTTCCAATAGAAATATTTACAAATGTCCATAAAAAAACACATCTTAAATATTGGGTCATCTTAGAATTTTACTCCCTTAAAAAGCCAGTAAGTCACAACTTGGAGGCATTGCTGTTACCCAGATCAGACCTGGAAGACAGTGATAGTGAATTATGTAGTTGCAGATAGTATGTGAGATTATTCAGTCATGCACATGTTCAGAATCCAAATAATCTTCTCCTGCTAATCTCCTGTCAATCTTTAGTTTGAATTGCTTTAGCTCTGCAAAGTGAAATTTTAATGTGCATTTGGTGAACTTTGGACTTCAATAGGGAATTCAGTTCATTCCCAACAGCTGCTTTATTCAAACGTGAGCTAAACAGGGTGAAATTTGATTAAACCTCCTTGTTTTTATACTAGTCCCAAGACCATGTTAACCTTCCTGCCTGTTTATGTGTTAATTGAATTAACCCCTTTGAAGCTAGCTAACTTTGGCATTTATTGCCAAGTTTAGATGAGAGAGCATAACCTAACTGGTGTGAAATGCCTTTCAAACTTAAAAATCTAGGAACCTGATTTTTTTCGTTGGCGCAGAATTGTTTAAATGAGAGTTAACCCAGAACATTAAAACTTCCAAGTGTTTGCTCTTAATTGGGTGTCATTTCAAGATCCCAAAACCAGTCTTTAGCAATCTAAAATTTGTCAGGACTTAACCTTTTTTTTTTCCCAATAGAATCAACTACATAAGCACAAGCAGAATAATTTACTCTGAACAACTTTAACCCTGTTTGTTCCAATGGCCTGTACCTGTTTGCAGTGATGGCTGTCCATTCTTCAAACAGCCCGCAAGCAGATAGAGGCTTTGGTAGATGGGTAAATCGTCTGCCACGTCTTGTTTCTTCTTTTTGGTCGAATGTTATTCCTAACAGTTGACGGAGCATTTGTGTGTATAGATGCTCTGCGCTTGTATAGCACCTCTTAACACTAACCTAATTAACCACCAAACCATAGGTAAAGCTTAAGAACAGCTCAAGTTTGACATAGATTGATAACTTGGCTTACTAATGGTTTAATCTATCGTGTATTAGTTACAGCTGGTTGTAAGTAACTTTACAAGTTACTGATTGTAAAGACATTTCCTTTGCCTCCAAATGCTAAGAAGTAAGGCCTTTATTTTTCTTCTATATGGTACCAGAGCAGAGCTGGAGTAAATTATAGTTTAAAAAAAAGAATCCTGTGGTAAATTACTAAACCACTGAAGTTTCTCCCTTTTCTGTATTTACACAGAAAATACAATTTGGCCATGACTTGAAACTTTTGCAGTACTAGGCTGGACAGAACACATGCATTCTGTTGAGTTGTGCAAATAGTTTCCTCAGATACTACAATCTCAGTAAATTGTAAGCAACTGAAGAATTGAGTGGGTGTGAGTATTTCAGTTAATGGAATGGACCTTCACCAATCAAACACTGTCCCTGATACCTTGGAAGGGTCATTTTTGATTTTAACGTGACTTAAGTTGACATTAACTTGACGAAGTTATTTTCCATTTTAACTTAACTAAAGTTGACTTTAACCTAATAAGTTAACATTGACAGATGTTTCCAAGGCTTGTCTTTTTTCCAGGGGTGTTTACAAATGCCCCTGCGCCTTTGATTCTTCCCACTGGTTTTCTTAATTCAGGGCTGGGACATAATGTAGCTGATGGCTGTGATGGTGCCTGTTGAAACTGAGTAGTTTCCTCTCTGCCCCACTGACCTCCACCCCTACTTAGGTCAGCTGGCCTCTGGAGCACTAAGAGGGAAAGTGATTGGTAGGCTGGATCTACAGCTTGCATCCTCTTACATTTTAGAGAAACAGGCAGATTTCTCATAGATCCTAAAATAACCAGTCTGCAAATGTCAGCTCTTCCTTAACCACCCTATCCCTCAAGTTCAATACACAAGATTATAGACTTAAAACAAAAGGCACCTACCAGAGAGAGGAAGGTAACCCAAGGTCGGTGGTAGTGGCAACAGAAGAAAATCCAGTGTTCTCTACCCTGCTGTATGGGCTTATTTTTTCCATGTTGAAAATAACATCATGGTAGGGGAGGTGCTGTTGCTCAAAGCCTTTTGTATATATTTGAGGAAGATAACTTCTCCAGGCTCAATGTTTTCTTTTGGGCTTTAGACCACCTTGTTTTACCTTCTGAATTTGAACAAGCAGACTGCAAATGAAAGACTAAAGAGAAATGATAGGAATCTGGGTCACCCCACCTTTTCACTTCTGCCTAGCATGATGGCATAAAAATGAACATTACAGGAATAAGAAGCTAGTTTGGTAGCTTTCAGATACCTAAATTTTGACTGCTGGAAGTCATTCTTAGTAAACGCTTTATAAATGGGACTGATTTAATTTTCCTGTACAGACTCTGTAGGAGGTATAATTAACATCATTTACTTTGACAATGTATTTTAATTTGTCTTTCTAAGTATTTTGGGGCTACTTTCTTAACTCTGGGATAAAAAGTTACCTAATATGGGAATAGTGAAGGATGGAATGCTTTTCATCTGTAAGTATTTTCTAAGTAATATTCTTCCACCTCAAATATTTTGGAGTTTAATACTCCAAAAAAGGACTCACTTCAGTGCCCCAATTTCTTGATCAAACCTCTTTGGTTTTTTAATTGTAAGCTTTTTGTGAAATACCACTGTTGCAACTGGGAGAGACTGGAGCTTTTGAATAAGCAGAGCTTCTGTTTTTCTGGGCACAAAAGGATGCTCAGAGCCAGAAGAAGCTGCCAAAAGAGTGATTGGAGACTGAGGTGGAAATAGAAAGGAAAAGAATAGGGGAAAATATCTCAATGGGAGAGAAGTAAGAAGCAGCTGAGGCTGCAGGTATGGAAGATGAAGGGGAAAAAAGGTGGTGGTAGGGCAGAGGAGGGGGTAGAGTTTGGTTGACAGCATTGAAACAGGGTTCTGCCAACAAAAATTCCTTGGCAGGAAGTTTGGGAACCACTTCTAGGATGGAGCCCTTTCTAGATTTACATTAATTAACTTCATGAATCTGGAGCAACATCTTTGCTGGATTTGTTTCACCAGTGATTATGTTGTGCAGGTTTATAACTTTCAAATTGGTCTGGGAGACAGGGACAGAAGACATGGACCCAAAATAAAGATGTTAAAAGGGAAGGAATGTGGAAAGTAGTAAATAGCACTTCCTGGTTATAAACTTAATGTATAAACTTACACCTTGGAGCTGTAAAGTCCATTTGGTCTTTGCTATTTTAAATAGCGGTGTAGAAAGAAGCATAATTAGCTGTCTGACAATTACCTAACATCACGACATCACAATAGGAACCTCCATTAAGCTGGAAGGAACTGGCCCTACCTGATATAGTGAGTCAGAACATATTCTTGTAAGGTGACTGTTTGAACAAGTGGAGGGTACTTCAGTGAATGCTTAGATTACCACTAATTATCTAATATTTAATTGCTATCATAGGTCTCTTGTATTTCTGACTTTATACAACTTTTCAAAGCAAGGTGAAGTGCAGGTATAATATGTATATTTGTTTCATATTTATAAAACATAAGTTTTTTTTATAAATTTTAAGCAGTAACTGGTCAGGGATTGGATGAGAGCAGTTTGATTCCAGTATTTTTCCAAAACAATCAGCACCTTCCTCCAATGACAAGTGTTAAAAACTAGAAGCTATTGAAAAATGCAAATTGATTTCTTGTGACTGATCTTAACCTGTTTGCAGATGAGTTCTTCCTAGAATTTTAAGAATTCTAATAGTGATGACTAAGCCAGGTAATGAATGTATAGGGTTATAGTTCTTTCTGATCTTCTTGTTAAGAGCCTCTGTATTTTCTCAGACCAGGGGAGAGCATATAAAGACCATCTTAAATCACAAGTGCCATACAAATGTTATCTATGAGGGACTGCTTTTATTCCCTTTGGCCACCTCCATTTACTCTAATCTACTTACTTGTATAGAATTCACAATTAGTTTTTGTAACATTCGCATATGTATCTAGTTGGGCTTTTTATGTTCCATGTAAGAGGAAATGCATATGACCTATGGTCACAGGTATAAAGCTGAAAGGGACTTCAGAGAGACACTTCTTTGTACAGTTGAGGAAGCTAAGGCCCAAAAAGTGCAACTTAATAGCGTTAGATTTTGAACCTAGGTCC